CACTCTCTTTTAAATACCACTACGTTTTTTAGTACTATGATATTAATCCGATGGAGCGTGGGATGGGGACACTGCACAGCTGGTACTCTTGACCCCACTTACTTCCAAGATTGCTGGTAAAACCTCGTTTAGGTTTTATGGTGACTTCCATGACATCCTGTCCAGGGGTTAATACCAATTGGTGATATACCTGATACCCATGGATACCATATCCGCATGATACTCGTATCAGTATCACGTGATACCGCTCGATCATTGGGATCAAGATCACTGATCCTTCTCCACAAATATATTGATCTTTGACGATACTATACTCCACGTATCCAGTCAGTTTCTGTATTTAGATCTGCAACCCCCGACAGCTTACAACAAAGACGCCGCAAACGATGGCAGAAAACCCCGCAGGAACGACGCAGACTGCCTCAGCCACGGCACAGACGGATGAAGAGGGTGTAAACGAGCATGGTATACCTCGGGTAGTCAAGATTGTTGCCAGAACATGTTCAATCCGGTATGGAGATTCATCCACAAGCTATCCCAGCCCCTACCAGGATCAAAAGAGCCCACAAGACCGTACACGCACATTTGTATAGTCTGCTGTGATGAGCACAAAAGCTCCGACCCAACCGCATCAACGTGGAGGAACTTTCTAATGCGACCAACTACATCTTCCAACGCTAGAAAACACATGTGGGGGGCTCACAAGGAGCACTCATTCCCATTGGAGACTAAGCGGAGAAAGACCAGTGATGTGGCTAAACGTGTTCAGACATATGATAGTGGAGCTTCGGGTGAACAGGGAAAACAGCCAAACCAAAAGAAGCAGCGCACAATTCACGAGGCAATTGTCATTAATGCTGACCAAATGAAGATTTTGTCGACTAGACGGCTACTTTCTTCTGGGCTGCCTCACACGGTACTCCAAAACCCTGAGATATTGGAACTTTTCTGGCGTTTGGCGCACCAACCTACGCTATTGACCCCTGCTCGAGATACTTTTTACGAATTTGCTAAAGCAGAATGGCACTTGCTTATCAAATTGGTGTCTGATACACTGAGCCGAGAGTTTTTAAAAGCAAAAGAGCAGCCATTTATCACGATGTTGCACGATCTGTGGACCAATGCATCGAACATGAAGATAATTGGTGTGACTGTCGTATTCGTGGATTCAGAGTGGCGCTTGGTCACACTTTCGCTCTTGGCGATGCCAAACCCTCACGGCCACGCTGCTGGTACTGTTGCTGATCTTAATAAAGCACGAATGCAAGACCGCTACAACATTAATGTGGACCGGTACGTTCGATTCACAGTAAGTGGTACGACGGGAAGCGGTCGAAACGTATCCGACCATTTCAATAGTACGGATCAAGTGGATCGTTTAATGCACTTATTAAGTTTGTGTCTGTTGTATGCTCTCGGTCTGAAAGAAAACACACGAAATCGTGGTCCGAGTATCATAACACCGGGAGGGGAGTTCCGAAGTGGTCTGAAAGTTATTCAGAAGCTTCGTGATTTGGTAACGTTTTTAACACTCCTCAAAGAATCACTAAACGCAAGCAGATAAAGAAGGCCCTTAGCCTTCCAGCTGTCAATATTGAAGTTGATTCGAAGACACGAGTTGGATACGCTGTAACGCTAATGCGTCGCAGTGTACTGAATCACTATGCCTTTGCTCAGTACTTTGAAGGATTTCCAAGGATGATTGGACGCTTATTACCGAGATGGAAGGGCTGACTAACCAACTCGCACAGTTTAGTCTGGGCGAAGTGCAAAAGCAGGGCGTGGCAAGCTTACGTCTTACTTTTTCGCAAAATGTTGGTTTTTGCTGGTGAATCACTACAGTTAATTGTTTGGTTCTCGATCGCCCTGGGCCAAAAGCAACTGAGCATTCGCAACGCCGAGCACCAAAGTCTATATCCGAGTTTTCTTGGGATGGCAAACGTTGTCGCGACCGACTTCGTGAGCAACTCGCTCTTCGGTTTCCAGTTGAGGATCTCAACGACATAAAAGCTTTACTTCTGGATCCGCGGATTAAAAGAAAAGCACATAGTATTGTCAGTGATTCATCAGTTCTTGCACTAGCTGAGACCGAACTTCAATTTGAGCATGCTCTCATTTATCAAAAATTGTTTGCAAGGCAAGCAGCAGACGAGGAGTGTAAGGGTGAGGAGCCTTTGCCGTCGGGGATTTCTCAAAGCAGCTCTAATCTCATTGACACTGCACTGGGTGCCTTACTAGAGATCGACGCCCCGGCTCAAAGCGTGGATATGTCTGATTTCCAGGCTGACCTATCCGCCCAAGCGATGAACGCGTGGAACGAATGGAAGAACTTGAATGTCTCGTGGCCGTGTTCAACATCCCAAACAGGCAAGTACAATTAACTAGACTTGTATCGGGACGTGGATATACTAGCATGGTTTAAAGAGTCTGGACAACTCCTGTTTCCTGGAATTGCCGTCCTAGCAAGGATCTATCTTGCTAAACCTCTGTCAACTGCAATTCAGGAGCGCTTCTTTAGCTTAAGTGGGTACGTTGTGAGCGATTTGCGTACCCGTTTGGATGAGGACCGGGCAGAGATGCTTTGCCTGATGAAAGCAAACTGGAGAGAGTACCGGAGCTTGCAAAACCAAACTGAGATAGACAGCAAGTAGCGACTCATCTGAATATCACATAATTGATATGATATTGATACGCTACTGATACGCCAGCGTCAGCGTATCAGTATCATCGGATATTGGTTTCACCGCTTTTTAAACTGTATCAGGATCATAAGTATTGCCCAAAGTGCCGATGCTATTAACCCCTGCATCTGTCCCGTGGTTTTTGATGCGAGATGCTTTGATATTTGTCACAGGAGGGTATGTCACGTCGATTACATTTAACATGCTGCTGTTCTGTAACTCCGTATCAACCATAATCTCATTTACAAATATTCAGTGTGTGTGTGGGAGCAACCTCCATGGAACCAAGCGCACGGCTTCATCGCCATCAGAGTGACGTTAATTCAACTCGTCTTCGCTTTCCAGAAATCCGGTCATTCAAAAATCACGAGGACATCATCCCGAATGAAATCGATACTCAAGAATGGAGGTGGTCAATTGAGGGCATTCGAGCGGTGGACATACGTTCTCTTCCGTGGTTAGGCTGGCTCTTCGTTTACGCTTTCGTTCAGTTCTACTTCTCCACCAGTCGCTGTCTCGCTCTCAAAACTCTAGTGAATATGTACGGAAGTTCCACGGATTACACAGTGGTGGTCAAAATATCAGCGTTAAGTCTTGGATTCCTCGAGGATTTCGTGTGCACGACGTACTTCGCGACTGCGCTTTGGACGTGTGATACTCTCAAGCAAGTGGCGTTAGAGCGCTTAAAAACAACTAGCGGGATGCCGTTGGAGATTGTTGGGGAGATTGCTAATTTCACGGTCTCGTGGCTGCTATTTATAGCAATGATGGCGCCTTTCATAGCTGATATGGTGCTGGTGGTATACCGCGACATGCGATTCTCGTTCAGTCTCCTCGCTACGTTGATCAGAGAGAGGGAACATCTCAAAGACGCTCCGATATCCAGTGACGAAGTCCAAGCAGCCTACGTGACTGCAGGTTATCTCGCTGTTATTGCTGCCATGCTCGCATTGGTGCGAGTCTGGGCTAAGTGGGCTAATCTGGCACTCTGGAACCCGACGCAGCTAATACTGAATCCCGTGACTAACCTAACAGTTGGGAAATCATTCAAGAAAGGTGCAGCAGGTGTCAAGTACGAATCGCTTTCTCTAGAAGATGGCGAGAAAGCCTCAAACATTGGGATCAAAGCCTCAACTACTCGGTTTCAACTGGTACGCGTTGCTGTCGTCATCCTGAGCCTTGTGGTGTTACCTGCGATTGCTGTGGTAGGCTAGAGCGCTTGCTCGCCGCTCGTGGCGTACACAGCGTTAAACGTGACACTGAACGAGTTGCTTCTCCACATGTTCGAACCTGCCCCCATGGAGGTTAAACTTGCAAACCTAATCGGGGATGGACCGTGGGTAGAGAAGTTCATCGACAAGGCCGAAGATCACGAGCGCTTTGGAGATGATACACTGTACCGACGCACCACAGGCTTCAAAGGAGAGCCAGCCTTTAACGTCACAATTGACAACGACAATCCGCCAAATGTTTTAATCATTGGAGTGGAATCTTTCCGGTACCGAGACTCGCGGTACCTAGGAAGACCCGTCAACTTGTTCAAAGGCACAAATTTGACAATAACGCCGAATTTTGACCGATGGGCGAAGCGAGGCGTCGCCATGCGCAATATTTGGTCCAGTATCCCGACCAGTCGGTCTCTGGAAAGTCTGTTATTTGCGCAAGCTCCTTACCACAGCAACACACAGAGTGGGATCACAGGAGGAAGAAATGAGACGAAGCTTTCAGGACTGCCCCAACTTTTCTCTCAAAAAGGCTATGAAACATTTTTCACCACGGGATCGTCAATAAAGCTGCATGCGTGGAATGTTTTTTTTTGCCTACACATGGCTACGACAATGTGTGGAACGACAAGATGATGAAGTTGATGGCGGAGGAGAAGTTCAATATCAGTCGCGATGACTGGAGAGGCAGTGAACACCGAGGGTTCGGCTGGGGTGTTCATGATGACGTCAGCTTTCGACTTGTAGGCGACTTGCTACTGAACAAACTGAAGCAGCCAAGAAAAAGAATGGCGCGTGGGGAGCCAAAGAAGCCCATGTTTGTCACGCACTACACAATTTCGAGTCACGAACCTTACAAATCATGGCCTAAATGGTACCAAAAGTCTGCAAAGCCCGACTTTTCAGCCATGTACGAAGGCGAGGAACACGCAGACAGTGTCCCGTACCCGGGAACGGAGGGGTCATTCCAGGAGCTCTGCCTCCCGTCTGGATGACCCGAGACCCTGGAATCACTCCTCGCCCCGCCGTCCCGTCAGGGTGGTTCCCGTTGAGCTCAACCACGCACGTGCCCCTGACCGAGCCCGTTAGGGTGGTCCTATAAGGGGCCCCAGAACGCCGGAGTCTTGGCGTCGTGGGACCAAAAGCACCTCGCGACATCAAGCCCCTTCCCAGAAGCTCTCCGTTGTCCCACGAAGGCCGACAACAAACGAAGTGAATCCTTCCTTTTTTATATGTAGTATAGTGTATGTAAGGTCGAGAAGGTGTTAGGCCTCTCTTCCGGTTAGCTCTCAGTCTTATATTTCTCTCCTTCTGCTCAAGAGGAAGCCAAGCCAATCAACAAATTCTTATTTTCAACTCTCTAGTGTTCCTATCTACCGTTCCTGCAGCCACTGAACAGGACCGTACTCCCTGAACAGCCGCGGACTACCCGACCCTAGAAGGAAGAGGAGGTATACGACATCTGGTGGAGAAGCAGGGTAGTCTGCTAGCTGGAGAAGGTCTTGCTCCAAGTAAAGTCTCGCGGAGAACGTCAGAAGGAAGGACAGGATGTCGGCTACTAACAACAGAGAAGATGAGAGCGCCACTGTCCGGAAAGAAGAAGGCCCGACCGAGAGTCTGCCTTCGAGAATGCGACCCAGTCTGTCGACTACGCAAGGCCTCCAAAACGTGCAGAATATTATAGACCAAACGGCTAACCGACTTTAGCGGAACAACTCTAGTACTGGTGTCGAGCCACCCGCGGACGCTTTGGGCTCCGGGGTCCCTGCGACCTTCACTTCGGAAGAGTTGGACTCGATGCTGACCCTGAACGGCGGAGGCGGCTGAGGTACGGTGCAAGGCTGGCTTAACTCCCTCAACTGGTTGAGATCCATGGCCCCTCCTGAAATTGCCGCCGCTATGGAGAGAACTGGTGGAAACGGTCTTGTGGGGACTCCCCCTCCTACGACTCGAGTAAGGACTGCAATCCCGTCGTACCAAGGTTTCACAATCCGAACCCCAAATACGTCATATGGACAGGACTTCAACCCGTTCTTCTCCCTACCAACTGTCCCTGAAAACGGTGGACGTGCTTCCCCGGCAAGTATTCCTCCGAGGACCTCTAACGCTCCTCCTTGGGGTCTCCAGCCCTCCGGTAACTTGCGAGGAGGCGGGGAGAACGCTCCAGCGGTAACCGTCCCCGTTCCTCAGAGGGTTCCTTTCCAGGTCTCGTCGCCTACCGTTCAAATTCCTACCCAAGGCCTGGGGTCTCGAACTTCGATTACCAGTGGAGTCGCGTACGGAGTCGACCCTACGAGAACAACCCGAGCTTCACAAGGAAACGGAGGAACTACGGCTTCTGCCGGAACCCACCAGGGTCCTGCGTATGAGGAATATGGAGGTAACTCCTACTACTCCTCGCCTACGTATGGTAATACGCCTTCGACTACTAGTGGCCAGTATGGTATGCCCACTAACATCCGAAACGCAATTCGCATGCTCCAACCCTTTTACTCGGAAGGAGCGTCGGTGGAGAAAGCGAGATCCTTCTGGGAGGCCTTCGAGAACGCCACGATAGGGCTGGACGAACCCCTGCGTCTCAGCGCTTTCAGGGAGTGCTTGAAAGGCAAGGTCGGCGAAGATTGGTGGATGTACTCGCGCATCAACAGCTTTGAGGCTCTGAGAACTCGGTTCCATAACCAGTTCATCAGTCAGACCCCTTTGCAACTGATTGAGAATCTGAAGAACACTAAAAGACCCCGGGGAATGTCCGCCAAAGTATGGGGCGACATGATTTCAAGTCTCTGCGATGATGCTCAGTGCTACGACACTCAGATGCGTTACCAGTACTTCTTGTCTGGACTTCGGAACCGAGATTGGAGGAACGCCCTCACCACGACAATGATTGACTCCATCCCTGCGGCTGTGGATATGCTGCTTCCTTAAGAATATGCACCCGTCCGGTTGAAGACGACTCCGAGTTCCGACAATGTGCTGTCCCCCTAAAGCCTTCCCAAGCGAGCGCTGTCCCTCGAACGAATGATGAACATGGATCAGCAGACGCAGAAATCTACTCGCTTCAGGAGCAACAGCAACAACTTTCAACAGAAACAGCAGTTGATGGAGCGTCCCTCTGACGACCGCCTATGCTCCCCCCAGCGGATGAATGTACCTGCCTGCCTACTCTTACTCCTGATCCCGAAACCCCTCTTCTGCCACTATCCCCCCTAACCGG